AGGAAAATCCTTAGGGCCTCTCAGCTGAGGCACCCTGGCTTCCCGTTGGGCACAAAGAGCACGTCCTGTTCAAAAGCCAACTGCTGTAGGCCCAGCGTGTGACAGCACAATACTAACTACATAATTCAGTTCCAAGCTGCATTATATGGCAGCGTAGATGGGCCTTTGCTTAGGGTAGTGAACTAGAGCTTTCAAGGAGAGAAACTACATATGCCAGAATCTCTTAGGATGGAGCTAGGATATTCAGAGCAAGTGAGCAGGAGGCAGCATAATGGAAGACAAGTGTTTAAGGGAATGGTTTTTCTTTATTTCTTGGAGCTCCTCTTATAGTTTAGTATCTCAAAATGAAGATGAGCTGTGGCATGTTTTATGTCAGGATCTCTTTATTTCCGTTCCCCAGCTTCGGCTCTGCTATATCCTTGACACATATCCATCAGCCAATTTAGCTTCCGTTCTTTGCATTATCCCGAAGAGTAATTGGGATGTTGGGGAACATTAGTTATGAAACATGAAGGCAGCAAAGGCAGCAAACAAAACAAAGACGGGAAGCGGATCCATGACATATGGCTTCCAATATCAAAATGCATTTGAACTAAATACATCTTGTTAACAGCGCTCACTTCCGTATTGTGTGTTTCATCAAATACAGAATGCTAGCTTGTAAAGTATTGTTGTCGCAGCTCAGACATCACCGAGGCTTGCATTTAAATCCTTTATCATACTACACATTGGATTATCTCGGGCCCCATCTACACTGCCATAGAATGTGGTTTGAAACAACATTTTATGGTCAGTGTAGACTCATATAATGCAGTTTAACCGTACTGAAAGGAACCTCCGGTGGCGCAGTAGGTTAAACCCCTGGACTGAACACTGACAGGTCACAGAGTGCGGATGAGCTCCCTCTATCAGCTCCAGCTCCTCATACGGGGGCATGAGAGAAGCCTCCCACAAGGATGGTAACACATCAAAACATCTAGGCATCCCCTGGGCAACGTCCTTTCAAACGGCCAATTCTCTCACACCAGAAGTGACTTGCAGTTTCTCAAGTCACACCTGACACTACAAAAAAAAAGAACTGCACTGAAGTGCATTATATGAGTCTACACTGCTCATAGTCCCCGTGGTGCAATGGGTTAAACCCTTGCGCTGGCAGGACTGAAGACCAACAGGTTGGATGTTCAAATCCGGGGAGAGCATGGATGAGCTCCCTCTGTCAGCTCCAGCTCCCCATGCAGGGGCATGAGAGAAGCCTCCCCCAAGGATGGTAAAACATCAAAACATCCTGGCATCCCCTGGGCAACATCCTTGCAGACGGCCAATTCTCTCACATCAAAAAAATTAAATGCAAAGATAGAGGATGAATGATGCTAAGAGGAGATATGATCACCATGCACAAATATGTGAAAGAATGTCATAAGGAAGACTTGTTTTCTGCTGCCCTGGAGAGTGGGACTCAATGGTGCCATGGGTTCAAATTACAGAAAAGGAGATTCCACTTGAACATTAGGAAGAACTTCTTTGAGCTGTTCAGCAGTGGAACTCTCTACCATGCAGTCTAGTGGAAGCTCCTTTTTTGTAGACTTTTAGACAGAGGCTGGATGGCCCTCTGCTTTGAAGAAGGGGATTGGGCTAGATGGCCTTTGGAAGTCCCTTCCAACTCTATGATTCTATGAACACACAAACCCCTTTGACGTCAATGAGACTTACTTTCCAACGCAATATGCACACCTTGAAGCCATTCTGTACAACGTTGCCTGCAATTAAGAAGGTTTACATCCCATAGACTCCAACACGCCTAAATAAACAATGACACGGAGTGGAAAATTCCCCATTATAAGAAACACATTGCTTCACAAAATGGATTGGAAACATAATGAAGGGATGTAACGATGGTGAAATTGGGAAGCTGGAACAAACACGATTCCCGTCAAATTGAATTTGTGATGAACTCTTTTTTTTTCCATATAGGGAGGCCATAGATTGAGAAGCACAGCAATTCAGACAGGAAAACAAACATTACCAACTATGAAGTGGCTTTATTTCTTCAAAAATCTGAACAAAGTTGATGTTGCTGAAGTGAAATTTTCACATCGTAAACAAATTACAAATAAATATGAAATAAAAATATTTAAATAAACACTAAGTACTGAATAAAAATAGCATCAAAATAGCTTTTATTTAAGTGGTTGAAGTATTAACTTAAAATATTAAGTAAAAAATGAAAATCTCAAATTAACTTCAAAATATAATTAACTCACATTTGAGCACGTTTTCCAGTTTTCCTTCTTCCTTTCCTAAACATACAACTCAATGCAACTTGCGTTCCTTCTTCTTCTTATGATTACTAATGTCAGGGGAAAACGTTTACCTTAATATATATATCAAAAATATTTTATATCTATTACATATATAATATTATATAGACAGATAGATATGAATATGATATAGATATGAATAATATATATGAGATATATGTATAGGATATATATATATATATATAATATCTATGTGACATCTATACATATATATGATATATATATATGACTTATATTTATATGAATGATATATATATATACACACACAGAATATGTATACTATATATACATATATATGATATCTATCTATGTATGTATATGAGATATGGGACATTTCTAATATCTATATCTATATCTTTCTATATATATATATATATATATAATATCTATCCATATATATGATATCTATCTATCAGTATATATATCATACTCTGGTTTCTCTTCAGATCGTATATATTATACATATGATTGATATTATATATATATATATATATATATATATATATATATATATTTACTTTGCTTCTATACCGCTGTTCTCAGCCCGAAGGCGACTCACGGCAGTTCACAGTCAGTAAAAACAGCAATAATTCAATGCAACATATAACAACAATTAACAACTTAACACATTACCCGCTCAGTACACAATTACTACCATAACCAAACCCGATCGTCTCATCGTCAAAAACATAATCCAGATTCGTCATCCATTGTTCATTCCTATGTTCATTACCAATCATTGTACTAGTTATTCGAACGCCTGCACACACAGCCAGGTCTTCAGTTTTTTACGGAATACCATGAGAGATGGGGCCGATCTAATGTCCATGGGAAGGGCGTTCCACAGCCGAGGGGCCACCACCGAGAAGGCACTATCTCTCGTCCCCGCCAACCGTGCTTGAGAAGCCGGCGGGATCGAGAGCAGGGCCTCCCCGGAAGATCTCAAAGTCCTGGTGGGTTCATAAGCAGAGATGCGGTCAGATAGGTAGCTTGGGCCGGAACCGTTTAAGGGTTTATAGGCCAACGCCAGCACAATATCTATCTATCCATATATATGATATCTATCTATCAGTATATATATTATACATATGATTGATAATGATGTTATGATGAGGTTTTATTGTCCCGAGTTGTACTTTTAATATGTAATTGAGTTGTATTTGCTGTTTTATCTGATTGTATTTGATATGTATTGTAAACCGACCTGAGTCCCTCGTCGAGGTTGAGAAGGCCGGTATAGAAATCCTCTAAATAAATAAATAAATAATAAAATATATATGAATGAGATATATGATATATAGATATATGAGATATATGTATATGATATATATATACATGAGATATCTATGTGACATCTACACACACACACATATATATATATATGATTTATATTACATTTATATGAATGATATATATATATATAATATGTATATTATTCATACATATATATGATATCTATCTATGTATGTATATGAGATCCAGGATATATATATATATATATATATATATATATATATTACATTTCTAACATCTATATCAATCAATCTATCTATCTATCTATATTTACCTTTACTATACATTTATATAATATTATATATATATATATATATATATATATATATATATGATTGATATTTTATATATATGAATGATATATAGGAATGAAATATGGGATATTTATTTATTTATTTATTATTCAAACCTATATGCCTCCACTCCCCTGGGGCTTTAAAAACAATTTAAATCAATTTAATAATAACTTTTATAATTTAATTTATATATGTGATATCTATCTATCTATATTATACATATGATTGATATTATATATACATATATATATATATTCTATATACATATGTGATATTATATAAGATCATCTGGAGGGGCCCTGCTCTCGGTCCCACCGGCCTCTCAGGCGCGTCTGGTGGGGACGAGGGACAGGGCCTTCTCGGTGGTGGCCCCTCGGCTCTGGAACTCTCTCCCACTGGAGATCAGAACTGCCCCCTCCATTCTGTCATTCAGAAAACGGATGAAAACCTGGCTATGGGGTTTGGCTTTCGACGAGTGAATCAACATTTCTGTGATCGGATAGATGGCGATGAACGATGGACGACGAATTCACTATGACGACTGACCATTGTTATTCTGTGATTGCATTTTGCTCTTATAACGTTTTAATTGAATTATGTTATATGATGTTTTTAATGATTGTTTTGTGATTTTATTGTTGGAAACCGGCCCGAGTCCCCCGATAGAGGGGAGAAGACCGGTATACAAAATTGCTAAATAAAATAAAATAAATATATATATATATATATATATATATATACATGTGAAATATATTATAATTTCCAAGCTCTGTTTTAATTAAACTTGTATTTGCAATCATACTAAGTAGCTCCACTTACTTCACTAAGACTCCCTTTTTGACAAATGGTTTCCCTAGTCTTCTTCTTCTTTGCACTCTGCGCATGCTCAGGTGACCCCTCTCTCTCTCTTTGTGGAGGCAGAGATGCGGCCACGACAGGGTTAAATGAGACTCACTCGAGAGCCCCGCCTCCTTGAGGTGACGTCACTCCCCCTCTGGGGGAGTGACGTCACCTCAAGGAGGCGGGGCTCTCGAGTGAGTCTCATCGGCAGGCGCGTGGAGTCCTTTAGCCCCGCCCCTTTACGTAGCGTGGGCACGCCGACGTCGGAGGCGAAGGTGACCGGCTCTGAGAGGAAGAAGAAGGGCAGAGGCGCCGCCATGTTGTCCCTGTCTGCTCGCTCGGGGCCTTTCGCGCCTTACTTGGCGGCCGCTGCCCACGCCGTGCCGGGCCCACTCAAGCCCCTGGCGCCGGCCTTGGCTCCGGCGGGCGCGAAGCTGCCGCCTTTGGACCCGAAGCGGCCTCTGCTCTGCCGGGAGTCGCTCCAAGGACAGGCCGCCCGGGGAGGCCTCCTCGCCTCTGCCAGCATCAACGGTGAGGGGAGGCTCGCCCTGGGCTAGGCCGCAGTGCCACGCAGGACCCTCTTGGGTGGCATCTCACCCTTTATTATTGTTACTACTGTTATTAGGTTACTCACCATGTCATTACACTGTGTTGTTTTACGTTTGGCTTCATTTACATTCACTTACTGGCTTTCTTTCTTTTTGTAAATAATATTTATTGCATTTATATTAATTTCATTACCAAAAAAACTCTATAATTCGCATAATGTGTCCTCAATAAATATATTTTCAAAATCATTATCCTTCCTTAAACCCATTTTAACCTTTAGATTGCATGTTAATTAATCATGTATTGCTAATTTCCAAAAATAATTTTATTGCATTTATATTAATTCCATTACCAAAAAAAATCTCTATAATTTTTATTGCATTTATATTAATTCCATTACCAAAAAATCTCTATAATTCATATAATGTTTCCTCAATAAATATATTTTCAAAATAATCATCCATCCTTAAGCCTTTTTTAACCTTTAGATTGCATATTAATCATGTATTGCTAATTTCCAAAAATAATTTTTATTGCATTTATATTCATTTCAATACCAAAAAATCTTTATAATTCATATACTGTGTCCTCAATAAATATATTCTCAAAATCATTATCCTTACGCCTTTTTTAACCTTTAGATTGCATGTTAGTTAATTATGTATTGCTAATTTCCAAAAATAATTTTATTGCATTTATATTCATTCCATTACCAAAAAAAATCTCTATGAGGAAATAATATTTATTTCCTCAATAAATATTTTCCATATATTTTCAAAATAATTATCCTTCCTTACGCCTTTTTTAACCTTTAGATTGCATGTTAGTTAATCATGTATTGCTAATTTCCAAAATAATTTTCAAATATTCCAAAATAATTTCCAAATAATTTTATTGCATTTATATTCATTTCATTACCAAAACAAATCTCTATAATTCATATAATGTTTCCTCAATAAATATTTTCAAAATAATCCTTCCTTTCACCTTTTTTAACCTTTAGATTGCATGTTCGTTAATCATGTATTGCTAATTTCCAAAAATAATTTTTATTGCATTTATATTGATTTCATTATCCAAAAAAATCTCTATAATTCATATGTTTCCTCAATAAATATATTTTCAAAATTATTATCCTTCCTTATGCCTATGTTAACCTTTAGATTGCATGCTAGTTAATCATGTATTCCTAATTTCCAAATTTCCTTGTCCCATTCTTCTATCTTAATTTCCACCTCTCCTTTCCAATATTTTGCTATTGGTAGCCTTATCAGCGTTATCAGATTCTTTTCATTTTCCTTCCATTCATTTGTATTATAAATAAATAACAGAATAGTTGCTGGATTTATATTAAAAAAAATTTCTTCATAATGCTTTCTATTTCTACTATAACGTTTCCCCAGAACCTCTGTACATATTTGCATTGCCACCACATGTGGATATATGTACCCCTTTCTTGGCAACCCCTCCAACATTTTTCTGTAACAACACTTATCTTCAATTTCCTATGATGTAGTCCATTCAGGATATCTTGATATTCATATCTATTTCCCTCCATCTCTCCTCATCGTACCTTCATTATTTCTAACTTAAATTTTAGATAAATTTTTAATCGCTGTCCAATCCGTCTTTCTTATCGTGGGTTTCAGATTCTTCCTGAATGCATTTGTTAAACTATCCACATTCATTATGTTGAGGATTTTTATTGTCCAGTCTTCTAGTGTTGGGATCTCCTTGCTCTTCCATTTTTGGGCATATATAATTCTAGCAGCAGTGGCCATATGGAAGAATAGGATTTCCATATTGTGTATCTTGGTCGGGGTCGGATACCATTTCCATACCATCTTGTAATAGTTTTCTTTTATACTAAATAAAGAAAACAGTTACTGTCTTTCAATATTAAGTCAATTCAGTGTTTTATGGTCTGATACAGTATGGTGTCTATAGTATGGTGTCCATGGATTCTTCAGTCCCCACCTCCACTGCCATCTCACCCAGTTTCTGAATGCAGGTTATCTTTTTTGAACTTCTGGTGGAGGGCACATAGGTTTTTATTGCTTTTATGGGGGATCTGGGGGCTTGAGGGGTGGATATTCCTACAGTTTACTGAGCTTATTTAGCCCGGTAAACTGTGGGAACACTGTCTGGACTCTGCAGTATTGTGCAGTCCAGATCCCGAAATAGTGGATTTATCCCATGCCTTTCCAGAAGGTGCTGAATAAATCCAATATCAAATTAATTGGCTGCAAACCAGGGTTTTCCTGGTTTGTGACAAATTAATTCAGGATTGTCCAGAAAGTTGTCTGGAAAGCCCCTCCTATTTTGTGGCAGATACCGCAATAAAGGTGCTGTCTGGATGGGCCTCAGGAGAGTCTATTGAAAACAGGCTCCTTGGCATGGAAAGATGAAACAAGAGCACCTCCCCATGACCAGTGTTGAACATCACCTCCAGATGCCAGAGATGGAAAGGGAAACCTTTGCCTTTATTTGTGTATTGTATGCCATTGTTCACTGTATAAAAGGCATTGAATGTTTGCCTATATATGCATATACCATAATCCGATCTGAGTCCTCTCAGGGAGATAGAGCGGAATATAAGTAAAGCTTATTATTATTATTATTATATGAGTCTATATTGTTTAAACCATAATGCAGTTTAAACCGAGGCTGAATGGCCATCTGTCAGGGATACTTTGTGCTTTTCCTTCATGGCAGGGGCTTGGACCAGAGCAGCGTTTCACAACCGGGAGGGGGGGGGGTCGTGAGCAGGTTTCAGGGGGTTACCAAAGATGATCAGAAAACACAGTATTTTCTGTTGGTCAAGGGGGATCTGTGTGGGAAGTTTGGCCCAACTTCCAAATGTCAAGGTCTATTTTCCCCAAACCCTCTCTGTTCAAATTTGGGCATATTGACTGTCCATGCCAAGTTTGGTCCAGATCTATCTCCGGTTCCTTCCACAGTGCTTTACCTGGATGTAGGTGAACGGCAACTCCAAAAATCAAGGTCAATGCCCACCAAACCCTTCCAGTATTTTCCATTGGTCATGGGAGTTCTGTGTGCCAAGTTTAGTTCAATTCCGTCATTGGTGGAGTTCAAAATGCTCTTTGATTGTAGGTGAAATAAATCTCAGCAACTACAACTCTCAAATGACAAAATCAATCCCCCCTAACCCCACCAGTATTCAAAATGGGTGTATTGTTGCTAAATTTGGTTCAGTGAATGAAAATACATCCTGCATATCAGATATTTACATGATGATTCATAAACATTCAGGAAGTAAATTATATTACAGTGTAGATTGTTATTACTTGTTCATTCAGTTGCTTCTGACTCTTCATGGCCTCATGGGCCAGCCCACGCCAGAGCTCCCGGTCAGCCATCATCACCCCCAGCTCCTTCAAAGTCAAGCCAGTCACTTCAAGGATACCATCCATCTATCTTGCCCTTGGTCGGCCCCTCTTCCTTTTTCTTTCCATTTTTCCCAGCATCGTCTTCTCTAAGCTTTCCTTTCTTCTCATGATGTGGCTAAAGTACTTCATCTTTGCCTCTCATCTCCTTCACTCCAATGATCAGTCAGGCTTCATTTCCTGAAGTATGGACTGGTTGGATTTTCTCGTGGTCCAGGGCACTCAGAATTTTCCTCCAACAGAGCTGGGGATTCTGGGAGCTGAAGTGTGAAATATCTGGAAAATAGAAGCTTGAGAAACACTGTTTTATAAAAAGAAAGTCAGGAATATTTGGGGCTTTCTACACATTTTAGACTAGTGTTCCTATCCTTTCAGTTATTAAAATTGTGAACAGTATATTTAATATAAAGATCTGGAGGACTCCAGGTTGTTACTCTTGAAGTATAGACATGTGTTTGGGGGAGGTCCATACTAAGGCACAATACACAATAGAGGAGAATTTAAATGAGAACCAACTTTGCATAGTCTATAGTCTTGATGATATGAGGTATACAAAAATTGTGTTGTCTGCTTTGTAGACAGTGGTCAACCAGGTCTTCTGTGAAGTACACAAATGGCAAGATTGGAACCCGCAGCCTCCCAAGTTGCTTTCTGCAGGATTCTCTTTTTTCTAGTTTGGAGACAAGCACAGAAAGGTTACAGAATTTTTGGTAGTGCTGAAAAGTCCTAAAAGGGCAGATATTGGGGTGGGAGACATGTTGCAGTTAAGTGAAATAAATTGCTGATATTTTCATTGTACCTAGTTTGGATTGTTTCAAGGTTAAAATGTAAATATGCTTTGTGTAATGTGTTTCAAGTGTACAAATGTATACTTAACAAACTCTGATAATAAGCTGCTTGTGGAAATAGCAAAAATGGTTTAAACTTTTTGAAAAGCGTGTTGCTTCATTAATTCTTCATTGGCTGCAAATAGACTTCTGTTTAACTTTAGACCTTGAAATTAAATGTGTATTAGCTTTGTCCTAAAAATCGTAACACCAAACTTCATTCAATTTCTAGGAAGTAGTCTTCAAAGAAGCTAATTGTAAAGTGATGATATTTATTCCTTCATTAGTTCTAGCTTGTTGCAAACACTGTATTGCAGTAATCTTTGCAAACAGTGTCCAAAGAGATCTTAAATGAAAGCACGTCACTGAGAACTCTTCATGTTGTTGTCCTTTGTTTCCTGGACAAAAAACAAAACTTAAACCAAGTGTCGCTTTTGTGTGTATTGCTAACTTGGGAGAAATCCTTACTGCACTCAATCGATTTCCATAAGGAAAGACCATACAACATATAGGGATTTGCTTCAAATCTTATCTTTAAAGCCTTTGAAAAGAATAGTTTGTATATGTTTGTATGCAAATGACAGTATTCATTTCTATACATGGTTATACATGCAGTCCCCAAGTTAAAGGCATTCAACTTATATATGACTCATAGTTAAGAGTGGGGTTGGACAACAGGAAGTGAGAGAAATCTACCCCTGGGAAGAGAAATTCACTCCTGGAAGAGTTAATATCATGAGGAAAAGGTCTCCACTGAAGCTTTTTCGCCAGGCCTTGTTTCCACAGCAAGGCAGTTTTTTTGAAATTCAATTATCACAAGTTCAGAAAGTGAGGTGAAATCTTCTAAACATGGGCACAGACTGCAAAACAAACACCACATGGGTGTTAACCCTTCCCTATGCTATCCAAAGCTGATATATATAAATATATAAGTATACTTAATAATGTACCTTTCTGGCTTGCATACAAATGTGTTCAGAATTGTTGAATTCAGAATTCTTGAATTTATTCGTTTATTAATATTTTGAAAAATTACAAATCATTGTCATTGTATTATAGTGCTTATTAGGCATGGTGGGATTGCACCTCAGAACAAGAACTTCAATTCAACTTCTGCTCTTAAGTCTGAATTTACATATTGATTTGTTGTTATTAATTGCAGCCACATTGACTCAAGACTTATGGTGCCCTATGAATGGGAGACCTTAGGTCATCCTGTTATTAGAAACCCTGCCTAAGTCTTCCAAACTGGGGGATGCGGTTTCCTATGTTTACCTTCCTCTTTTCTTTTCACCTTATCAAACATATTTGTATTTTCTAATGAGCCATATCTTCTTATGATATGGGCAGAGCATAACAATTTCAGTTTAGTCATCTTGGCCTCTAAGGAAAGGTCAGGCTTGATCTGTTCTTGGTGTCATTTATTTCTTATCTTTGCAATCCATTGTATCCACAGACATCAGTATATTTCAGATGAGTTGATTTTCTTCATATCAGCATTCTACACTTTTCATCTTTCATAAACATTTGTGGAAACAGGAAACACAGTGACATGAAGAATACTAGCTTTGGCTTTCAACGATATATCTTTAGACTTGTCTTGTTCCTAATTCCTAGAGCATGCAACCCAGGAGTGTATAGGATGTGTTGAGCTAATGATTGGCTTTAACTATAACATTAAAATCATTATTGAAAATAATTATAACTGGTGTTAACATTATACCTGAATATAAGAGTTGAACCTTTTCAAGGTTTTTAAAACTATTTATGCCAAGCATAATGAATTGAATTGGAATTGATTTTCATTGAAAACGAAGTTAACATTTTCCACAGACCACTGGCACTGTGCCACCATTTCAAAAGAAACAGCCATTCCATTGGTTTTAGTGAGGTGATAGTATAAATGTTTGGTTCACTGAAAATCACCATAATTTAGTTTAATTATGTTGCAGATTAGACCATGTTTAGAATTCCATATAAATTGTAAAAAGCTTTATTTTCTTGTGACTCACCAACTGAAGACTACTTTCTAAATGTGGAAAGGTCCAATTTCAAACAGTTTTCTTAAAAATTGGGCTGCAATTGTATATGAGGGTTGCTGGAGTAGGGGCTTAACAAACTACTAAATGTTAGACATTTTTATAGCACAGTTCCCTGGAATTCTGTGAGATATCTCTTAAGTGTTTTGTGAGAAATTGTGATTTTTTTAAAAAATACAGTGCATTTTCAAGGTAGATATAGTAATTTTTATTCAGCGTTTCCTTGAGACTTGAAAACTATTTAAGGATTCCTCCCAGGTTTAAAAGGTTCGGCGTGGCTACCTCACACTGTAGATTTCAATTTTATAATTGTTGTATTACTGTATTGCTAATATGTTGTTTGTAATTGCCTTTTTTGTAAATTGCCTTTTTATGCTGTACACCGCCATGAGTCGCCCTAGAGGGCTGAGAATGGCGGTTAATAAATGCACCAAATAAATAATAAATAAATAATAATTTCTGCCTCTTAGGTAGCGTGAAGAATATGTTTTCCCCAAGTATTTACAATGATTTGATGACAATTGATAGAATATTAAGCTTTCAAAAATGGTTATAAGAGGAAAGTGGGATTTTTGCATCATCTTGGTGATGGAGAGACTCATTCCATGTCTTGCAAAGCACTTGTAGAAATCCATACTTTCAGAACAGGGAACCAGAGTCAGGATCAAAGTTTTGATCATGGCTTGGGAATATCAAGGTTCTTGTTCTTATCAACCCATGAAGCTCACTAAGTCATCTTGGCTCAGTCTTTTTCTCAGGATCTGATCCCAAGTTTTCTACTTTAAACTAGATTATTTGATAATCAAAATAAGCAGAAAACCTGGGAGCAGGGCCCTCAGTATTACCTACCTCAGAGCTGTTTGGGAATAGAGTCAAGAGAAAGCGTGTCATATGCACTGCCTTGATCTCGGTGGAAGAGAGGCAAGATATACATAATAGTTTTGTCATTTGGAAAATCACATCCATGGTCATTAGTATATTAAAATTCATGTCATACAATAATGATAAATTATTCCTTCTCCTTCACAGCTCCTGCTACTGTCCGTTTCCTCCACAATGATGTCACTGTCCCTGACTTCTCTGACTACCGTCGACATGAGGTGTTAGATAGCAAAACTTCATCCCAGGAGAGCAGCGAAACCAGAAAAGCATTCTCCTACTTTCTCACGGCAACAACTTGCGTGGCCTCAGCATATGTTGCTAAGAATGTTGTCACTCAGTTCGTCTCTAGCATGAGTGCGTCTGCGGATGTGTTGGCGATGTCAAAGATTGAGATCAAGCTGTCCGATATCCCAGAAGGCAAGAACATGGCATTCAAGTGGCGAGGGAAACCCCTCTTTGTGCGTCACCGAACCCAAAAGGAGATTGAGCAAGAAGCCCAAGTAGCTTTGACTGAATTAAGAGACCCTCAGCATGACTTAGACAGAGTGCAGAAACCTGAATGGGTTATACTGATTGGGGTATGCACCCACCTTGGTTGTGTGCCCATCGCAAATGCTGGTGATTTTGGTGGCTATTATTGCCCTTGCCATGGGTCGCATTACGATGCATCTGGGAGGATCCGTAAAGGCCCTGCTCCATACAATCTTGAGGTTCCACACTATGAATTCCCCACAGAAGATTTAGTTATTGTGGGTTAGATTGCTTGACACTTGGCTCTCTTGAAGCTTTATGTACACACAGACGAAAGGGGCTGGTGTGATGTCATGTAAAAGTGAAGCTAGCTATAAAATGTGGCTAATTGTCTAAAATCACTATTCAACAGTAATGATTTGTTTGCCTACTTGGTCAGTTTTAATAAAACATTAAACTGATGCCCTATAAGCAGTAGTACTTTGACTTTGATAACTCAAGTCATCATAATATCTAACTGAAGACCTCTTAAGAGCATAAATATGTTTAATTTTACAGTGAAGTGACTGCAGTTGAGTTTGCACATGATGTTCTGTGTACATGTGAGCAGGCACACATTAAAGTTGTATTCTAAGGACACTTTTCAGCCTTTTGCTGTGGTATAATCATAGTTCTACCTGATTCTTTCATCATGCATCCTTGGAAAGGCAGCATTCAGACAGGTTTATTTATTTCGTATGAAAAGCATTGCAGACATAAGTATAAAACTGATAAAAATAGAAGGAGCAGAAGTGGCTAAATAATTTTTGACCCAAACGGGGCAACAGTGACTGCATTGTCTCTAGCTTTCAACAATTCTTCCTCTGAACACGAGGCAGGACATTGTGGACAAGCATACAGGTGCGAAGTTGTTTGTTCTGCTCCACAGTGACACAAGGTGTGGGATTCTTTTAGGCAGTTTCATTTTGCCAGGTTGCCTTTTGATCTGCCCACTCCACTTCAGAGTCTGTTCAGGGACTTCCAAGTTGACCATTCATGGTTTTCCCCTAGATGCGGGGGGGGGGGGGGGCATCCAATTGGGATTTCCTAGTTTAGCTGCCCAGAGGGATGCTCTTGCTGTTGCTGGGGGAACATTAAGAGGAGTGGTGGTTCTCATGAAGCTTTTCCTTGATTTGAGTCTACTGGGAGGAAGCTGATAGCCATGGAATGGGTGGCTTTCACAATGCTCAGCCTTATTTCTCTCACAGTTAGCAGCAACTTCCTGCCGCACATTGGGGGTGAGGGCAATGCCAGCTAGCTTGTAGAGTATATCAACAGGTGTAGGTTTGAGACATCCTGTGATTATACATGCAGAGAGGTTAAACTTGTTGCGCAACTGGATTTTAGCCAAGTCTCGTGCAACACACACACGGGCAAGAGGCAATAAATATAAACTTGCAGTGTTGCATACAAAATCAAACAGTGCAACAAACTTACATATTGTGGGTTGTTGTAGGTTTTTTCGGGCTATATGGCCATGTTCTAGAGGCATTCTCTCCAGACATTTCGCCTGCATCTATGGCAAGCATCCTCAGAGGTAGTGAGATCTGTTGGAACTTTCCAGGTTTTTCTTACATAGTCCTTGTAAGTAACAGAATAAGTCTTCATTCAAATGAGACAGCAAAACATAAATTGAGTAAATAGCTATTCCACCATAACAAAGAGCATCGCTGTTAGAGCATAGCAGCATTACAGCACCTTCTTCAGAACAGCATATTTCTCTACCTCTCCAAACTGTATTCTAAAATCCGTACAGTTAAACCTCACCAGGTGTGGCCCAAACACGCTGGCTGACCTACATTATCAGCTGCACATAATAATTAACATCAAAAGGTTTTTCTTTAATACACACTTGATCCTGCTACGACTTACTGTAGCAAAACCGACATCTGGTTGGTTCTGCCATTTTGGCGAATGTTTGCAGTGGTTCTCAACCTGTGGGTCCCCAGGTGTTTTGGCCTACAACCCCCAAAATCCCAGTCAGTTTACCAGCTGTTAGGATTTCTGGGAGTTGAAGGCCAAAACATCTGGGGACCCACAGGTTGAGAACCACTGTTCTAGGTGGTCTTTGAGGTCCTCCTAAGGTCACTATATAGATCTAGATCAGTGGTTCTCAACCTGTGTGTCCCCAGGTGTTTTGGCCTACAGCTCCCAGAAGTCCCAGCCAGTTTACCAGCTATTAGGATTTCTGGGAGTTGAAGGCCAAAAACATCTGGGGACCCCAGGTTGAGAACCACTGTTCTAGATGGTCATTGAGGGTCTCCTAAGGTCACTATAAAGATCTATATGGTCTTTGAGGGCTTCCTAAGGTCAATATATAGATCTAGATCAGTGGTTCTCAACCTGTGTGTCCCCAGGTGTTTTGGCCTACAACTCCCAGAAATCCCAGTCAGTTTACCAGCTGTTAGGATTTCAGGGAGCTGAAGACCAAAACATCTGGGGACCCACAGGTTGAGAACCACTGTTCTAGATGGTCATTGAGGGTCTCCTAAGGTCACTATATAGATCTAGATGATCTTTGAGGGCATCCTAAGGTGGACCTAAAGGCTTTTGGGAAATGACAGTGGCTTTACCATGCCACATTTGGATGATTGCAAACACAATGTGTTGTTGTTGTCCTCGTTCTTACTCTGTTTTTCTCCAAGCAAGTGTGTACCTCTGAATTGTCGATTAAGAACACAATCCTGTAAGTCTTGGTATTCATATAACTCTAAAGAAGGTCAGGCATGATTGATACTCCTTAAACAGCAGTAATGTATTCCTTCAGATTGCTCCTTGGGTTGCACTCACGCTGGCAAGATCTATGTCTAAACGAAGCCTAGATTTGAAAGCAATCCTGGCCTTTGTCCAAGAAGCTTTGAATGAAAATAAAGTAGCGGTTTGAAACCAAAAGCTGATCACAGTTTTAGAAACGCCTCGTGTTTAAAAAGAAAATTAGCCAGAAATAGGAATTCTACTTTTCATTTAGTAGTCAATTCTTTCTCCCTTGAAGGTTCATTGATTGGCTTGAAAAGAGAAATGCGGCAACCACTATCTTTTCGTTTTAAAAGCTTTGAACTTCTAACACTACATTAAAAGGCATTGACAAAAAAGATGCTTACATATATGTAACAACACTTGGGTGGAAAGGAGGGAAGAGGAAAACAATGTTTCACAGGAGGAAATCATTTAAAGACTTTCAGAATGTGAAAGGGATGGATTTATTTATGCGAACAGAAGGACAAAGCCGTTGCATAATGAAAACTGTAATTAGAATTCCATCCCACACAACTTGTGATTTAAGAGGCCTACCAAATTTGAAAGTGGTGTTTATTCTCCACACCTGGACAGCACATTAGGAATGCTAGGATTAAACAGAATATGAAGCTATAAAACATAAGATACATTATGCAACATCTGTATTTTAAATTTTAGAGGTGCCATCCTTGCTTGTCATTCACTCGGCTTCAGAATCCAGTTCTTCAATTTCAGCTAAAGTAAAGTAAAGTAAGAAGTGGCAGCCAATGGTGAGAGGACCAAGGCAGAGACATCTCCAGCTCATCCCCTGTTTGGGCATCGGCCAGCATGTCAATGACTTAAATCTAGAAATAGTTTTCTAAGATCTACAGAGACACTCGCTGGAACACCTCGGCAAGCAAGAGCCCAAAAGTGGCAGGCTCAAACCCAGAACCTCAATCAATGGCTGATGCCAAATGAGAGACTCCCCCCTGGACACACAGAAGTCTGGGCGACCTGGAAGGCGCTGGACAGACTGTGCTCTGGCACCACGAGATGCAGAGCCAACCTCAAGAAATGGGGCCACAAAGTGGAATCCACGACATGTGAGTGTGGAGAAGAGCAAACCACTGACCACCTGATGCAATGCACCCTGAGCCCTGCCACATGCACAGTGGAGGACCTCCTTGCAGCAACACCGGAAGCACTCCAAGTGGCCAGATACTGGCCAAAGGACATTTAATCAACTACCAAACTCGCAAATTTTGTATTTTGTCTGTTTGTTTGCTTTGTTCTGTTAGAAATGTAATATAATTGACTGGTTGCCCTGACACGACAAATAAATAAATAGCTAAAGTAGACCCATTGAATCAATAGCAACACAGCAACACTTGTGTAAAATAAGCTCAGTCAATGGTTTTGTTCTAATTGGGATTAAGAATTGGATTTAGAGCAGTAGTTTCTTGCACGTACAGTATTGTGTATTGATGCTCTAAGCCTCCTTTGCTTGGAGCAGGAAAGTTTTAATTGTGTTCATGTTCCTTGATTCGTGTTTCGGCCTTGCGTTTGGTGGTCCAAATACAAATCAAGGAACATGAAAGACAATGCAGACTACTTCAACCAGAGAAATCAGCCATAGCAGAGCACCTGATGAACCAATCTGGATACAGCATATTATTTGAGAACACAGAAATGCTGAACCACTCTCACAACCACCATGTCAGGCTACTTATTTAACTTATTTAGACGATCCTTCGTTGTCTGAGTATGATGCCCTTCCAAGGGTAGGGTCTTTTACACAGAGAAGCCATTGAAATCCACAAGTATGTGGGCAATTTCAACACAAAGGAAGAAACCATGAAAAGGAGCAAAATCTGGCTACCAGATTTTTTAAAAAACCTCAAAAATCTGCCCTGAGTCCCTTTGGGGAGATAGAGCGGAATATAAAAAGTTATTGTATTGTCGAAGGCTTTCATGGCCGGAATCACTGGGTTGTTGTAGGTTTTTCCGGGCTATATGGCCATGTCCTAGAGGCATTCTCTCCTGACGTTTCGCCTGCATCTATGGCAAGCATCCTCAGAGGTAGAGAGGTGTGAATGTTTCAACTGACCATAGATCTTGCCAGCATGAGTGCAACCCAAGTGCAACTCTAAAATTACAACAGCAAAACAGCAGAGGGAAAACAATCAGGGACATCTAATCATCTCTCAACAAAAGATTGCTCCAGGCAGTTCCAGGCTATCAAATGCTAATCAACGTGGTCAGTTGAAATATTCACACCTTGCTCCAGCAGACAAGAGTCCTTTGTCTCACCCTGGTCATTCCACATATATATAAACCCTTTTTCCTAGTTCCAACAGACCTCACAACCTCTGAGGATGCTTGCCATATATGCAGGCGAAACGACAGGAGAGAATGCCTCTAGAACATGGCCATACAGCCCAAACAAACCTACAACAACCCAATAAAGTAGTAGTAGTTGTTGTTATTATTAAAATCACAACAGTACACAAAGAGCAACATTCAAAAAGCAGGGGGATTCCAGACACGAATCCATCAGGGCCAGATAACACCTCCAAACAGGATCCCCCCCCCAGGCAGCAATCAGCCAAGCTTTGAAGCTTCAAGGTCATTAAATGCTAATCAGGGTGGCTAATTGCAACATTCACACTTTCCTCGAGAGTTCTTTTCCAACCTTGAACATTTCAGAGACATAT